CTCTAAATTGTCTATTCTCGTTAGCATTTCATCAAACCTTTTTTTCAAAGTTCTTAGTTTCTTTGCATTGGGTTAGAACAAGTTCTTTTAACTCACAGAAGTTTCTTATCCACCTTCTGAAGGCTGCTTCTGTTAATGGAACACACTTGTTCTCCATCAGGCCTTGTTCCGTTGCTGATGAGGAACTGTGATCCCCTGTAGAGGGAGAGGCCGTTCTGATTTTGGGTATTCTCAGCCTTTTTAGGCTGGTTTCTTCCCTTCGTTATAAATTTATCCATCTGGGGTCTTTGTGATTACTGACTTTCTAATTAGGTTTCTGAATGGATGTCCAACTCGTCGATTCCCAGCGCCAGAATCTGAGCAACCCACTGCGCCGGCTAAAACAGCGGCGTTAAGATTGATGGTGCTTTTCTGCCCGGGAATCTCCGGTCTGGCTTCCTTCTTGACTCCGTCCTTCAATCAGCTGAATAGGCGACTCTGCCTTCCCGGAGCTCCAAACGTCGGCCAAAAGGGGACCCAGTGCCGTTTACACTGCACCAAGAACCGCCGCACCAAGGCGCTGGCAAAACCGCCGTGCTGGCCACAAGAGTCGCGCTGGTGACCAGTGGGGCTCCTCTGCTGTAAATCTCCTGGTCTGTGAGCAACAAAAATTCGTCTGAAAGTGTGGTGTCCTCTCTTTCTCCGCGCTTTCACTGGCAGCTACAATCCTGAGCTGCTAGTGATCAGCCATCTTGGATCTCCCTCCGGATTCAAATCTTAGCTGGTATTATTAACTCACTTGTGATACTTAAATAGCTTCCTGTAACTATCACAAATAATGACATTTTGTGATGTCATTGAATTAGAAAAATCTAGAGATGTATCCCACATTGTCACTAGCTGTGCTATATTGACTAAATCATTTCACTTTTTTTTTTTGGGAGATGGTTCGCTCTTGTTGCCCAGGCTGGTGTGCAATGGCGCGATCTCAGCTCACCGCAACCTTTGCCACCCGGGTTCTAACTGATTTTCCTGCCTCAGCCTTCCTAGTAGCTGGGATTACAGGCATGTGCCACTATGCTTGGCTAATTTTATATTTTTTAGTAGAGACGGGGTTTCTCCATGTTGGTCAGGCTGGTTTGGAGCTCTGGACCTCAGATGATTTGCCTGCCTTGGCCTCCCAAAGTGCTGAGATTACAAGCGTGAACCACCGTGCCTGCCCCCTCACCCCCTTTTTTTTGAGCAGGAGTTTCACTCTTGTTGCCCAGGCTGGAGTGCAAAGGTGTGATCTCAGCTCACTGCAACCTCCACCTCTCGGGTTCAAAGGATTTTCCTACCTCAGCTTCCCGAGTAGCTGGGATTATAGGCACCTGCCCCCACAGCCAGCTATTTTTTCTATTTTTAGTAGATACAGTGTTTCACCATGCTCGCCAGGCTGGTCTTGAACTCCTGACCTCAGGTGATCCACTGCCCTGGCCTCCCCAAGTGCTGGGATTACAGGCACAAGACACTGTGGCAGGCCAAATTACTTCACTTCTGAGCTTTGGTCTTCATCTTTTAAACTGAGATAATATAATGTACAGGAAAGCAGCTAGCTCACAGTAGGTGCTGGTTGGCAAATGAATCAAACTTAGAATCTTCCTTTTGGTTTCCCAAGGTGTTTCTTTCATTAGACTGTCAATGGCTACGAGGGAAGTGGCAGGAGTCCCTTGCAGTTTTGCTACACAGTGAGCACTGACTGATGCTCACCAATCAACACCTGGTCCACTGGTGTTGAGTACTGATATCATGATGGACTAATCCCTGTGACACCAGTCCTACAAGTAACACATGTATTCCATGGGAAGGGAGACTTGCTGTTCATACTTTATCCCCAGAGCCTAGAAGAATGCATGGCCTACACAGAAGGCACTCCAAATGTAAATATAATGTTGTTGGGGTGTGGCAGGAGACTGTACTAGTCTCATTTGCAATTTGGCCCAGTAATACTGATCACAAGGAGCTGTGAAAACAAAATGAAAAATGCACATGAAAACATCCAGTTTCCACTCTTCAGTGACATTCAGAACTCAATGTATGAGTTTCCACCTTTCTTGTTCATTTATCCTTTTCATTCAGAATCCAACACAAATGGATTTAAAAATTGTTGGAAAAAGCATGACCAAGGGTCCTTTCTATGTACACATGGAATTTCCTTACCACTAACACAGTGCTAAATTTATTTGGTTAGAATCAATGTACCTTAAACACTTAAGTGAACTTTCCAATGCTCATGATATTGAATGAATTTATTAAAGTAAATAAATATGCCGGGCACGGTGGCTCACACCTGTGATCCCCGCACTTTGGGAAGCAGAGACAGGTGGATCACCTGAGGTCAGGAGTTCGAGACCAGCCTAACCAACATGGTGAAACCCTGTCTCTACTAAAAATATAAAACCAAAAATTACATAAACATAACTCTTGAGAATATGAATCAATAGGAACAAAGTGCGGAATGGAACTTGGAAAAATAAAGAGGTGTGTTAGAATAAAGGAGGGGATGACTTGAGCCCAGGAGGTTGAGGCCACAGTGAGCTATGATCACACCACTGCACCCCAACTTGGGCAGCAGAGATGCTGTCTCAAAAAATACTGAAAGAAAAAAAAAAATACCCCAGGCCAGGTGCGGGGGCTCTCTCTACTAAAAAAAAAAAAAAAAAAGAAAAAAAGAAAAAAAATATGAAAAACAGCTGGGCAGGGCATGGTGGCATGCACCTGTAATTCCAGCTACTCAGGAGGCTGAGGTAGGGTAATTGCTTGAACCAGGGAGGTGGCGGTTACAGTGAGCCAAGATCGCACCATTGCACTCCAGCCTGGGTGGCACAGCGAGACTTTAACTCAAAAAAAAAAAAAAAAAGCCCCAACAAATGTCCCCATCCTTATAGAGATAAAATCAGGGAATAATAAATAGTCACCACTGGAGACCAACATGAGATCCTCTGAGGCAGTGGGAATTTTATTGGTTGGGTTGATCACCTTGTCATGACGACCCAAGAAAGGGCCCAGAAAAAGGTTTCGGAAATTCTCCAGAAACTGAGTGAGGTTCCTCAGTCTGGCTGCCTAGTCTGTTTTTGAAATTCCACGTTTTCAAAACTGAACTAATTTTCCGCTTCATCTTCCCCATCCCTTAGATGATGTTTCATCATCTTGCAGCTGACTCCGATAGCTCCTTTGCCGGGACATCTCCCAAGTCTTGCTGGGTCTTGTCTCTTCTGCTCCTCCTATCACGGCCTTTGACCATGCATTCCCTGTATCATCTGGGATTGCATGCCCTGAACTGCTGCGTTGCCTGCATCCAATTCTTCACATTGCTGTCAGGTCCAGAAGCATAACCCTCCTTCCTGCACCCTCCTAGTCAAATACTTACAATGTTCCCCAGTGCTTACAGGACAAAGGTCAAATTCCTCTTCCTAGTGTCTATGGCCCTCTATGTCACCATCCATTTTGTTAAACTTCTCTAAATCTCCACTATCAAACTCCACGTTCCCTGGGCACAATGCCCTGTGCTTTCCCGACTCCATGGCTTTGCTCACAGATGTTTTTTTTCAATAGGAATATTTCCCACCCCACATACCCAAAAGGTTCAGTAGCTTAAGTGCTCTCTGATCCTAGATGAAGTTCTGACTCTGTTCTCTGAACATCCGCTTTGCCTTCATCATTAGCAACCAGATCACAAACTCCAGGAGGGCAAGAGACACTCTGCTTTTGTATTTCCAGTGCATTCTAAAATTTTGGTTTATAGGAGGCAATGGGACAGTTGTTTTAGGCCTAGGGACAGCCCCCAATAAATTAACGGGCAGCAGTCAAGTGAATCTCCTTTCCCAAGCTTTTGCTCCAGCATGTAATGAAAGCCCTCAAGCTTCCCCCCTGCTTTGATGCCCCTCAACAGTTCCTCAAGGGCTGAGATCAGATGGGAACCACTGTACTTCTGGTGCCTCCTAGAGAGCTAGGCCAAACAAGCAATGCAAGAACAATTAGGACAAAAGTCATCCAGGAGGCCAGGCGCAGTGGCTCATGCCTGTAATCCCGGCACTTTCGGAGGTGGAGATGGATGGATCACCTGAAGTCAGAAGTTTGAGACCAGCCTGACCAATATGATGAAACCCTATCTCTAGTAAAAATAAAAAAAACAGCTGGGCATGGTGGCACACGCCTGTAATCCCAGTTACTTAGGAGGCTGAGACAGGAGAACTGCTTGAACCCCAGAGGTGGAGGTTGCAGTGAGCCAAGACTGCACCATTGCACTCCAGCCTGGGCAACAAGAGTGAAACTCTGTCTCAGGAAAAACACCACCACATTTTTTCCCCCTGGTTTTTGATTAGTTCAGATCTTAAGGTGATGAGATCATGACACCACAGATTCAGGGTAATTTCAACAAATGGTGCAGGAGAACTGTATATTCATGAAGAACTTGTTTGGTAATGCTCCTAGTTTCCAAACTGATTAATTCCTCATCAGCCTGGCTGTTAAGTTTCTTAAAAGAAAGAATGATAAACTCCTGGGAAACTTGCTTTTATTCTGTTGGGTGAGAAAAATCCTTTAGGAATGTGTTGTTTCCCTAAGATGGATGATCCCAAGGAACAAAACCATCGTTGACACATTAACTTTTCTTTTTTTTGAGGAGTCTGGCTCTGTCACCAGGCTGGAGTACAGTGGCACAATCTTGGCTCACAGCAACCTCTGCCTTCTGGGTTCAAGTGATTTTCTTGCCACAGCCTGAGTAGCTAGGATTATAGGCACACACCACCTGTAACACACGCCTGGTTAATTTTTGTATTTTTATTGAGAGACAGGGTTTCATCACGTCGGTCAGGCTGGTCTCAAACTTCTGACCTCGTGATCCACCTGCCTTGCCCTCCCAAAGTGCTGAAATTACAGGTGTGAACCAGCATGCCTGGCCTACACATGAACTTTTTATGCAAAGAAAAGACATACCAAGATATATCAGAAAGTACAACTTCAATTAAAGCAACATGAAATTTTGTCAAGCAAAAATAGTCTTTATTCAAATTTAATGGAAACAGGGGTCACTATACTTTGCAAGACGGGGAAAAATAAAATTAAAAAAAATTCTTTTCTTTTCTTTTTTAATATAAAACAATATAATCACAATACCAGAATATGGAACTCTACAGTTTATTTCCTATGGGTTACTGCAGGTATCAATTTTCTTTGACTGTGCTATTCACAACTTTGTTAAGTCCAAAAATATGAAACCAAAGTGGTAGGAAACTTAAGACTTAGCACTTTCACTAAATGGCATACATCGAAGGGCATCAATTCAAGAGCAAAAATGGTTGAACTCACCATACCTACCTATGTGGTCATTCCAGCCTTAGAGCCGTCCAGGTTACTGAGCTCCCTGTAGGAAAGGCCAGGCCTGAAAGCCAAGGCGTTTTGGATATTCTACTGTGGGCCATGAGTAAAAGGGGATTTTCAAAAGAGAAAATTTTTTTTTTTTCAGTCGAGCAGGAAGGCCTGGAGCCAGGAGGCTTTACTGAGAGGAAGCACTTAGATTTAACAATTATAGACACACCATTAGGGGAGTTAAAAATGTACAGCAGTGACATGTTCTACTCCAATCACTTGTGCTACGGCTACCAAACATGTACAAAAGACTCCTCGGGTAGTTCCAGCTGTGGTCGTAGCCAGTTAGGACCTTGAGTGGGACCTAGATCTAGACCGGGAGGGTGATCTAGAAGCAGACCTGGATCGAGACTTGGACCGAGATCGGGTTTTTGAAGCTGACTTTGATCTGGAGCGTGATTCTGATGGAAGGTTTGGCTTCGATTTGGAATTGGATCTCGACCTGGACCGGGTCTCCTGATTGGTGCCAGCATTCTCACTCTCCCCTCGGCCTTCCCTCTGGCTGGATTCAGACTTGGCATGGTCCCGCTCCTTTGAAACAGAGCGGGATGGCGATCTGGACTGTGAGCGGTCAGTGTCTTCCTTCTTCTTCTTCTTGCTGCTGCCCGTCTTGCTGTCTCGCTTGCTGCCTCGCTTTCTGCTCCTCTCACTCTTGCTGCGGCTGCGGCTGCGGCTGCGGCTCTCCTCCCTGCTTCTCTTCCTGCCCTTCCTCTTGTCCTTGCTCTTGCTGTGGCTCCTACTCCGGCTCCTGCTACCCCCTTTGCTCCGGCTCCGGCTCCGGCTCTGGCGGAGGCTCTTCTCCTGGCCCCTGCCCTCCTCCTGGCTCCTGCCCCTGCTCATACTCCCTCGCTTCTCCTCCTCCACTCTCCTCTCCTGACTCCTGCTCCGACTTTTGCTCTTACTTTTATGCCTGCTAGGACTCCGGCTCTTAGGTTTCCCAGCATTGTCATTGTTTTGGATCTTCTCTTCAGCTTGGTCTTTGCTTTTGCTTCGGCTCTTGCCGACGCTGCGGCTGCGGCTGCGGCTTTTGTCCTTGCTGGGGCTCCTGCTTTTCTCCTTCTTGCTCCGGCTCCGACTCTGGCTTCGGCTCCGGCTCTTGCTCCGGGAGTGGGAGCCCGACCTGAGGAGACATGGGACAATATTTGAGTCACATGCGACTTCACGCTAATCTGGAAGATAAAAAGACCAAAGGACGTATGTGTAGAGTTACACCCCCCATATAAGGCATGGATGGCACCAACTAAGGATTTCTTTTTGAACCCCCATGATGCCAGTCAGAAGCTGGAAAAACTGGCTGAGCATGGGGCTCACACCTGCAATCCCAGCACTTTGGGAGACCGAGGTGGGAGGATCACAAGGTCAGGAGTTTGAGATCAGCCTGGCCAACGTGGTGAAACCCTGTCTCTATTAAAAATATAAAAAATTAGCTGGGTGTGGTGATGTGTGTCTATAATCCCACCTATTCAGAGGCTGAGGCAGGAAAATCTCTTCAACCCAGGAGGCAGAGGTTGCAGTGAGCTGAGATCGCACCACTGAACTCCAGCCTGTAATATCAGCACTTTGGGAGACCGAGGCAGGTGGATCACCTGAAGTCGGGAGTTTGAGACAAGCCTGACCAACTTGGTGAAACCCTGCCTCTACTAAAAATAAAAAAAATTAGCCGGGGGTAGTGGTGGCTGCCTGTAATCCGAAGCTACCCAGGAGGGTGAGGCAGGAGCATCACTTGAACCTGAGAGGCGGAAGCTGCAGTGAGCCGATATTGTGCCACTGCACTCCAGCCTAGGTGACAGAGTAAGACTCCATCTCAAAAACAACCAAAGCTGGAAAAGCAGGAGTGAAGGAATGAAGGAAGACTGGTCATATGACTAAAATCTAAGTCAGGCTGGGCACAGTGGCTCGTGTCTGTAATTGCAGTAGTCTGAGAGGACTATCTGAGGTCACGAGTTCGATCTCAGCTCACTGCAACCGCCGCCTCCCAAGTTTAAGTGATTCTCTCATTTCAGCCTCCTGAGTAGCTGGGACTACAGGCATCTGCCACCACGCCCAGCTAATTTTGTATTTTTTATTAGAGACAGGGTTTTTCCATGTTGGTCAGGTTAGTCTTGAACTCCCACCCTCAGGTGATCTGCCCACCTTGGTCTCCCAAAGTACTGGGATTACAGGTGTGAGCCACCACATCCAGCTGAGGTTACAAGTTTAAGATCAGCCTGGGCAACACAGTGATATCCCGTCTCCACAAAAAAATTTAAAAAATAGGTCAGGTGTGGTGGCTTACGTCTATAATCCCAGCACTTTGGGAGGCCGAGGTGGGTGGATCATCTGAGGTCAGGGGTTCGAAACCACCCTGACCAACAAGGTGAAAACTCATCTTTAAAAAAATAAATAAATAAAAATAAAAAATTAGTTGGGTGTGGTGGTATGTGCCTGTAGTCCCAACTACTTGGGAGGCTGAAGTGGAGCCTTGCTTGAGCCCAGTGGGGTGAGGCTATGGTGAGCCATCATTGTACCACTGCACTCCAGCTTAGGTGACAGAGTGAGACCCTGTTTCTTTGGGGGAAAAAAAAAAAAAAAAGCCAAGGTACAGGCATTCCCTGCTGACCACCTCCACTTATACCACAGAAGACGTACCTGGACCGGGATCTACTCTTAGAATGACTGCTTTTGCTGCTTCCACTTCGGCTTCTGCTCTTACGGGAATGTCTGCTTCGAGAGCGAGACCTAGAGGGAGAAATATTTTTTAATACTTGCTGACGAGAGGCTAGCTGATGAGCATCAATCATGATTTTTTTTTTTTTTTGAGATGGAGTTTCACTCTTGTTGCCCAGGCTAGAGTGCAATGGTGCGGTCTTAGCTTACCGCAACCTCTGCCTCCTGGGTTCAAGTGATTCTCCTGCCTCAGCCTCCTGAGCAGCTGGGATTACAGGAACGCACCACCACGCCTGGCTAATTTTATATTTTTAGTAGAGATGGGCTTTCTCCAAACTTCTCATCTCAGGTGATCCCCCTGCCTTGGCCTCTCAAAGTGCTGGGATTACAGGCATGAGCCACTGTGCCCAGTCAAGATATTTTTTCAATCAAATATATATAGCACTGGCTGTGTCCAGGCACAAACTCTCTCCTGGGTTCTAAATCCACAGGTGAAGTAACCAGCAAACCTTCCATCTGGATGGTTCACCTGAACCTCTTATCAGCTCTTGAAATTCTAACTGCCCCCCCCCCCATTACCTGCTCCTTTTGCTGGATTTCTTATGTGCACTGATGCCACTGCTATTCATATGGTTCCTTATAACAGAAATCAGAGCCATTCTTGACTCCCCCGACTTTCCCCTTACACACTGACGATCATGCTTCCTGATCTCCCGTCTGTCCACCTCTGCTGCTACCTCCCTGGGCAAGCCACCATCATCTCTCCCCTTGTTCCACAACACTTTTCCCCTTCACGATCTATTCATTTCACTGTGACGAGAGCTATTTTAAAGAGGCAGACACTCCAAGCTTTAAAAAAAAATTTAAATGCATCCAGACTGTAGATTCTTATTTTCTACCAACCAGGACTCCTTGGGGAAATGACTGATTCCAGGCATAGAGTAGGAAGTGTACAAGATGGGCTTAGACCACCTCATCATGATAGAAATAGGGAAACTTTCACAGCTGCCCAGGCACCATCACCCATGAAGTATTCTTGCTACAAATGTTTAATCTGCATCTCAACCACACCTCTCCAGACCTAACTTCCAGCATAAAGGAAGTTCTGGGATAAAAGTTCAATGATATCAAGAAGAAACAGATAAATGCAGAATATGAGATAGTATTAAAAAACTAAGAATAATATGCCAGGTGTGGTGGCTCACGCCTGTAATCCCAGCTACTTGGGAGGCTGAGGCAGAATAGCTTGAACCAGGGATACAGAGGCTGCAGTGAGCCAAGATCACACCACTGCACTCAAGCCTGGGTGACAGAGCAAGAGTCCGTCTCAAAAAAACAAAAAAACGAAAAAACCCAAACCTAAGAAAAATAAATGTCATTAAGGGAAATGCTCCAGACTAAAGGCATGACTACATTAGGTTTTACTACTAAAAATTCCTTGTACTGTATGACTGAATTAGAACCTGGTAAAGAAAAAACCAAGCTATAAAGACAACCATGGAGTAACTAGGGAAACATGAATATGGCCTGGATATTTAGTAATCTGATGGAATTACTATTAATGTTCTTAAGTGAAAAAAGAGAACTGTAGTTATTCTCATTCTGGGAGACACATGCTGAAGTATTTAGGGGCAAAGTATCATAATTTCTACAACTTACTTTCAAATGCTACAGCAAATAAATGTATAGTGAGCCTGTATAAATACATACATACAAAGAGAGAAAAGGTAAAATGCTACCTGTTAAGGCCAGAGGAGGGTATACAGGTAATCATTATTCTTTCAACTTTTATGTTTGAAGAAACAAATTGCAAAAATATCTATTTAAGACAACTGGGGCTAGTCATCTCAGCACTTTGGGAGGCTGGGGTGGGAGGATCGCTTGAACCCAGGAGTTCAAAACCAGCCTGGGTAACATAGCAAGACTCCATTTCTAAAACAAACAAACAACTGAAAAACTGGAATACAAACTGGATATTAAATCATAGTATGGAGTTATTGCTAATTTTGCTGGCTATATTATCATGGTTTCATTTCAAGTATTAGAGATACATACTGAAGAAGTTGCAGGTGGAATGACAGGATGTCTAGACTTGCCTTAAAACAATGCAGCAGGAGGGGGTGATGAAATAAGACTGGCAAAATAAAAACTACTGAAGCTGGAGGAGTGAGAGGAGCGATTTAGAGTTCTCTAATCTTCATACATAAATTTCAAATTTTCCATAATAAAAAGTTAAAAGAACGAAACAACAAAACCTGAAAAGTCTCCAATGACTTCCCATCACTCTTCCATTCTTGCTCTGGCCCAATGGTCAGTGTCTCTGGTCCTTCTCTGCCTTATCTCAAGCCACTCTCCTCCCTTTCCTTCTCTGTATTAGCTTCTCTACTCTGGAAAACTTTTTCTTGCTCCCCCAACCCCAGGCCTTTAAAAACACCCTTCTCTCTGCTAGATAGAAAGCATTTTCTCTCTCTGCTCACCATCTCTGCGTTATCCATTAGGACTCAGTTCTGTAACACGTCCTTAGGGAAGCTGTTGCCAGCTCTCTAGACTACTTGTGCTGTGTGCATTTTCTTGTCACAATGGCACTGTTTATTCAATAGTCATCTTTTCCACTAGACCAAGTTTCAGGAGGGCAGGGATCCTTGTCTGTTTTTTTTGAGATAGAGTCTTGCTCTGTTGCCCAGGCTGGAGCCCAGTGGCTCGATCTCAGCTCACTGCAACCACAGCCTTCTGGGTTCGAGCAATTCTCCTGCCTCAGCCTCCCTAGTAGCTAGGAACACAGGTGTGTGCCACCATGCCCAGCTCATTATTTTATTTTATTTTTAGTAGAGATGGGGTTTCACTATGTTGGCCAGGCTGGTCTCAAACTCCTGACCGTACGTGATCTACCCGCCTCGGCCTCTGGGATGACAGGCGTGAGCCACCGTGCCTGGTCATTTGTCTTCTTTACTATGCCTCTCCAATGCTTAGCCCAGTGCTTGGCCTGTTCAGGTGCTAAATAAGACAAAGTTGCCATGTGTGCCCTCAACCAAGGTAGTATCTAGGGGTTCCAAGAAGAAATGTGAAAGAAGGCCTCTGATTTTTTTTTTTTTTTCCCCCGAGATAGAGTCTTGCTCTGTTGCCCAAGCTGGAGTGTAGTGGCACCATCTTGGCTCACAGTAACCTCTGCCTTCTGGGTTCAAGTGATTCTCCTGCCTCAGCCTCCCAAGTAGCTGGGACTATAGTTGTGCACCACCACGCCCAGCTAATTTTTGCATTTTTAGTATAGATGGAGTTTCACCATAGTGGTCAGGCTGGTTTTGAACTCTTGACCTCATGATCTACCCGCCTTAGCCTCCCAAAGTGCTGGGATTACAGGTGTGAGCCACTGTACCCAGCAAGGCTCCTAAGAGAGTCCCTCTAAAAGAAGGGACTTTACTTCTATTTGTACTCATGACCTAAGTGTTCAAGAGTTTTACAAATAAATGTTCAGTTTATTTGTAACTTCTAAGTTATTGAACCAGGTGGAATCATGTTATTGAGAACTCAACAGGAAAATGTAAATAAATCATCTATATGCTCACTAATGAATTTATGATGAGCTCCAACACATAAAAGACATCAACAGTACCTTGAATGGCTCCGGCTCCTGGAGTAGGACCGGCGTCGTCTGGAACCTGGCTTGTCTTCAACTAATCGGATTTTTCTGCCATTGACTTCAGTTCCATCCAACTTTTCCAAAGCTCTTTTCATATCAGAATAAGATACAAATTCAATCACCCCTTCATTTTTACGTCCCTTGTGAGCATCTGCGTAAGTCACTTCTCCTGCCTGACGCATATAATCCTGAGGATTAAAAAAAAAGCATGACTATATTAGGATATGTTTTACTAAAATATCTAATGCAATCATCTGAGTGAACTTTTAGGAAATGCCAGTATTCCTCAGAATAAAGTTTACTCTTAAATATTTTCATCTACCCACCAATCATGTACTGAGGTTTTTTTTTTTGAGATGGAGTCTTGCTCTTTTGCCCAGGCTGGGGTGCAGTGGCACAATCTCAGCTCACTGCAACTTTTGCCTCCTGGGTTCAAGCAATTCTCCTGCCTCAGCCTCCTAAGGGGCTGGGATTACAGGCGCACGTCACCATGCCCGGCCAATTTTTCTATTTTTAGTAGAAACAGGGTTTCACCATGTTGGACAGGCTGGTCTTGAACTCCTGACCTTGTAATCTGCTGGCCTCGTCCTTCCAAAGTGCAGGGATTATAGGTGTAAGCCACTGAGACCGGCCCATATACTGAGGTTCTTTAAAGCACCAGGCATATTAGGTGGGTGGGAAGACAACACATACATATTAAATCGTTCCTTCAAATAAAGTTTTGGGGACAAGTGTGGTGGCTCACACCTGCAATCCCGCACTTTGACAGGCTGAGGTGGGAGGATCGCTTGAACCCAGGAATTCAAGACTATCCCTAGCAACACAGTGGACCCCATCTCTACAAAAATTTAAAAAATTAGGCCACTGTACTCTAGCCTGGGAAACACAGCAAGATCCTGTCTCAAAACAAAGAAAGTTTTGTGTGAATATAGAAGTTTTTAGTTAGCTATCATTTTATAAAAACAAAAATTAAAAAAAAAATTTTTTTTTTTTTTGGAGACAGTCTTGCTGTGTCACCCAGGCAGCTGGAGTGCAGTGGTGTGATCTTGGCTCACTGCAACCTCTGCCTCCTGGGTTCAAGTGATTCTTATGCCTCAGCCTACCAAGTAGCTGGGGTTACAGGTGCCCACGACCACACCTGGCTAATTTTTGTATTTTTAGTAGGGATGGGGTTTCACCATGTTGGCCAGACTCGTCTTGAAATCCTGATCTCCGGTGATCTGCCTGCCTTGGCATCTCAAAATGTGGGTATTACAGGTGTGAGCCACTGTGCCTGGCCCATTTCTTATATATAATATACACTCAATAGTTATTTGTTAAATGAATACATAAATTTTAATACAGTTTCTGTATATTACCTTCCTGTCTGTATTTTACAAAGTGACACTGAATACATACCATTTTTATTATTTCTTTGCATAATAAACATGCTTATATGTCTTTACACAATTTTCATAATTAATGTGCCTAACACTTTTTCTGAGGATTTACCAATTGAGATATTTAGGTTATATACAGTCTTTTGATATTCATAATCTAGCAAAGAATATCTCTGGTACAAAAATTTCTTTATTCAATTATTTGCAGGAGTAGGGATTCTGGGCAAAACGCAGGGAGCCATTCAAGTTGTAATATATTTGAGAGGAAACAAGGATGCTATTCATAGGCCAAGACTGGGACTCCCCTGGCAAGTTGAGGTACATGGTAACTGCTCGTAGGGCATGCAGAGTGTCAGTACATTTGCTTTATACTGCCATACTTCCAAATTAATAATAATAGCAGCTGACATATCAAAAGTTTATTGTATGATTGTATCGTAGTGATAACCATATGAAGTAGAAACAATCATCACCCTCATTTTACAGATATGAAAAGTGTAAGAGATGTTAAGTAAATTACTCAAGGTCATTTAGGCAATCGGTGAATGAGCCAGGTCTGAAAATAAGCAGTAAGATGCCAGAAACTGAAGTCTTTTTGTTGAGATGAAGTTTTACTCTTGCTGCCCAGGCTGGAGTGCAATGGCGTGACCTCGGCTCACCTGGCTCACCACAACCTCCATCTCCCAGGTTCTGGGATTCTCCTACCTCAGCTTCCCAAGTAGCTGGGATTATAGGCATATGCCACCACACTTGGCTAATTTTGTATAGAGACTGGGTTTCTCCATGTTGGTCCGGCTGGTCTCAAACTCCCTACCTAGGCCTCTCAAAGTGCTGGGATTACAGGCATGAGCAACTGTTTCATTGTTGTTGTTGTTGTTGCCCAGGCTAGAGTACGGTGGTGTGATCTAGGCTCACTGCAACCTCCACCTCCCAGGTTCCACACCTGGCTAATTTTTGTATTTTAGTAAAGACAGGGTTTCACCATGTTGGCCAGGTTGGTCTTGAACTCCTGAACTAATGTGATCTGCCCACCTCAGCCTCCCAAAGTGCTAGGATTGCAGGTGTGAGCCACTGCACGCAGCCCAGAAACTGACTTCCTAATGCTACTCCACGCTATGGGCCACACTACCAATTGTCAATGCCATGAATGGCACACTAATATGTAATTTGCATCTCAACGCTACCATCACTGGGCATTAGACATTTATTTTTGGGCTGGGCACGGTGGCTCACAACTGTAATCCCAGCACTTCGGGAGGCCGAGGTGGGCGATCACCTGAGGTCAGGAGTTTGAGACCAGCCTGACCAACATGGAGAAATCCTGTCTCTGCTAAAAATACAAAATTAGCCAGGCGTGGTGGCGCATACCCATAATCCCAGCTGCTCAGGAGACTGAGGCAGCAGTGAGCCGAGATCACGCCACTGTACAAAAGATTAGCGGGGTGTGGTGGCATGCGCCTGTAGTCCCAGCTACTAGGGAGGCTGAAGCAGGAGGATCGCTTAAAACTGGGAGGCAGAGGCTGCAGTGAGCCATGATCATGCCACTGCACTTCAGTCAGGGTGACAGAGCGAGACTCTGGGGAAAAAAAGGGCAAGAAATTTATCTTTAAAAATTTATTCATTGTTTTTGAAATGGAGTCTCACATGCTTGTTGCCCAGGCTGGAGTGCAATGGCGTGATCTCAGCTCACCACAACATCCGCCTCCTGAGTTCAAGTGATTATCCTGTCTCAGCCTCCTGAGTAGCTGGGATTACAGGCATTCACGACCACGCCCGGCTAATTTTGTATTTTTAGTGGAGACGGGGTTTCTCCATGTTGGTCAAGGTGTTCTCGAACTCCCGACCTCAGGTGATCTGCCCACCTCGGCCTCTCAAAGTGTTAGCATTACAGGCATGAGCCACAGGGCCCAGCCCAAGAAATTTATTTTTTAAACTATCCCCTAATTTGTTTTCCTTTTGCAGTTCCCTGATAAACAGCTAACACACATTGTGCCAGAAGCTGTCCTATGCTTTTTATATAACAGTTCACTAAATTCTCTCAATAACCTTGAGCAGAAATTAGTATTAACCCTATTTTATAGTTGAGGAATACGAAGCGTAAGACATAGGTAACTTGCTTAGGGTCACATAAGTGATCTTAGTGGCAGAGCCAGGATTCTATCCAAGCTGGACAGCTTGAGAGCTAGGAAATCTGCTGTATTATCTATAACTCTTGTTTTCTTAGACTGGAACTGCCAGAAGGTACAGAAGTATGTCAACTAAGGATGGGAACTAAGCTCCATTTTAACAAAAAAATTAAGAGGTTTTCTAAGAAGTTAACTTAATACTACATTTAACGTCAATGCAAAGTTAGCATTCTACTCATGGAGAGTAGCTTCCCAGTTTTTACCATAGTTCAATTCCTAGCTCTAAGAATACTGGAGTCATTCCCCCAGCAAGCAGAATCTTGCTGGCAGACATTCAGTAAAGGTCTGCTATGATGCCGACAATATGCACAATACACCTGAACAAAGAGTCCTAGTCCCAGCTCTTCTGCATCTGTTCATCTGTTATTTGAAGGTTGTTGAGAACAAATTTTAAAAAGAAAAAAAAAAAGTGCTTTAAATTAAAAACTACACAAATGTAAAGGATTCCTAACTATTCTTTACTGAACCTGAATACACTCACTCATTTTGCTAGAGATGACTTGTTTAAATATGATCAAAAAAAGTGAGAAGGGAGGCAGAAAACAACACCCATTTCATATATCCTCCTAAAACCATTCAGGTCATGATCATACTCAGTAAGTATTTCTTCCCTATTCAGATTAAAAACGTTTTGTCAAAAAATGGGGCCAGGTGCAGTGTCTCATGCCTGTAATCCCTGCACTTTGGGATGCTGACGTGGATGAATCACTTGTGGTCAGGAGTTCGAGATAGACTGGCCAACATGGTAAAACCCTGTCTCTACTAAAATACAAAAATCAGGGGCAGGGAGTGGAAAAAAAGAAATAAAATAAAAATATATAAAGAAAAAAAAATTAGCTGGGCATGGTGGCATACACTTGTAATCCCAGCTACTCGGGAGGCTGAGGTAGGACGACGACTTGAACCTGGGAGGCAGAGGCTGCAGTGAGCTGAGATGCTGCCACTGCACTCCAACCTGAGTGAAAGGGTGAGGCTCCATTCCGCCACCCCCAAAAAAACAACAGACCTGGAGTCATACACTGGATGGCCAATATCAGCACCGAATCTTGATTTTTACACCAAAACTCTTTCAGGACAAATATTCCATCAAAAACCTTATGAGAGAACACTGGTCAAATTGTCAGTTTTCACCAGTAAGGACACACATTGAAGCTGATGTGAATTTGCATGTTACAGCAAATGCTGCAGGAAACACTGGTGGTTCCAACCTTTCTATTTTACTGACTGGTGAGTAGCTACACCAGCACATCGTTTAACTTTTTTGTGTGTGACAGAGTCTTGCTCTATTGCCCAGGCTGGAGTGCAGTGGCACGATCTTGGCTCACTACAACCTCCACCTCTGGGGGTTCAAGCGATTCTCCTCCCTCAGCCTCCCAAGTAGCTGGGATTACAGGCGCTCACCACCACGCCTGGCTAATTTTTGTATCTTTTTAAGTAGAAACGGGGTTTAAAACATTCTTTAGAGAGGAAAATTTCATATAACAGATTTGGGCCATGTGTCTGTCATATCAGCACTCTGGGAGGCTGAGGGGAGGATCACTTGAGGCCAGGAGTTCGAGACCAGTCTGGGTAACATAACATAGTGACAACCAAGCTCTACAAAAAATTTAAAAAATTAGCTAGGCATGGTGGCATGTGCCTGTAGTCCTTGCCTCTCAGGAGGCCGAGGCCAGGCAACTGCTTGAGCCTCAGAGTTTGAGGCTACAGTGAACCATGATGTGCCACTGCACTCCAGACTGGGCAATAGAGTGAAACTCTGTCTCAAAACAAAATGAAACAATCTCACAGATTTCTCCTTAGAGTGATGGTCCCACAATGTACAGTAGGAGTGCAATTCTGATGTTTTCTGGACTCATATGGAAGCTTTAATTATTTCCGGTCTTACATGTTTGAAAATCTCTGTGAAGGTTTTCAAACATATAAGACTATTATATTTTGTGTATGCCTGGGCCTGCACAAATCTACCTGTTTCCCAACTTTAGCTCCTGCCCAACCTTACCCCAAAAGGTTAATGGGGCCCAAACCTTTAAGTCTTGCCAGCTGCACCGACTTGACAAATTCTCCACAATAAGCCTGTACTCTGTGCGAGTAGGAGGGCCATATTTATCTCGGCCACTTCTTCTATAACCATATCCACCTTTAGAAGGTTTAAATAAATAAGATTATTTCAGTGGAGGAAAAGGAAAAAAGAAGACACAGCACATATCCCCCCTTAAATATATTATTTACTCCCGCCCCAAACGATAGCACATAGTTTTAACTCTATTCCCACCCTTAATTCTAAAATAGATTTTTATAGAATCAATCAGCTTAATATACACGTTTAATCTAAAAAGTTGTAAGTATATATATTCATTAATATTTATATTTAAGATTAACATGCATAAATTAAAAACTATTAACAATTTAACAATTTAGAAATAAGTAACCAAATTACTAAATCAGTTACTAGTGTTACTCACAGTGATTAAAAATTTTGTGAATATTTTATATGAAAAAAAGATTTTCAGGCACCTATTTCAGTTTAATCTCATCTGTCTCTAACCCTTGGGATCCTCACCACCCAGGTCTAATGGGGAAAGGTTGCGGTCGTCACATGGCTTCCTGTTTTTGGTCAGCCAAGGGCCACAATGGTTCAAAGAGCCACGCATGGAAAGGTAACCCAAGGTCAGCAAATGGAACAGGCAGTCATCTTAGCCTCAAAGGATTCTTTTAATTAAAACATTGAGGTCTTTGTTAAATCTATGTTAAACAATTGCATTACAGAGAAAAAACAACAACACAAACACACATCATTAAACATATTCATAAAGTATTATAAACAAGAAATTGTCATTAATTTAATTAAAATTAAACATTATCAAAGATGTTTATTTGCAATTCTACATTTAAAAAGATACATAATTTATAAAACAAATAGCTTAAACATCAATACATTAAACTGTAATATCAATGAATTACTTTAGAAAACCAGCATTTAATAATAAAAGCATGTTACTGATACAAGTATGCCCTTTGAATGCTTACTGCGTCCAGAACCGTAACTGCCATCTCGCCGTGGGCCGCGGGCATGCTCAACAATTACTCGCTCACCACAAAGGTCTTTGCCATTCAGTTCATAAACAGCATCATCTGCATCACGCAGATCATCAAACTCCACAAAACCATATCTAGAAGAGAACAAACAAAATCCTGGTTGGCACCATTTTGACATCCAGCTTCATTAACATTAAAGAGAAAGCAATGAGGTTCATGCTTAGCAAAGGTTAGGTGGATTTTGCAAACTAAGGATTGGCTTTCTCTTCTCTTTAGGTGAAACCACTTTGCTTTGTGCCAACAGGCACTAAAGAGGTAGGGAGACTTCTCAAAGTAGACTCCTATCTTTCTAGGAGGAGGCTGGCTACACACACAGGACACTTCTTTTGTTTCCCAATTAGTTGGTGGCAACTGCAAAGATAGGGATGCTTGGTATAAGAATCCAAAACATGTAACGCTACAAGATATATAATGCTCTTTCAAACACCACATAAAACTCATCTTTTTTAGCTTTAAAAGTAGTATCTTAGAGAACAATTAGATCTACATTCAGGTACTGGGTAATAAATGTTAAATCATGTGGAAGAATAAACTTTTTTTTAAGGTTCCTGTTCCTCTATGTAAACAAATCTGTCACATGCCAATTAACTACTCTAAAACTTATCAGTGAAAAGGAGCTATTTGCTTCCCAGTAAGATTCCAAATTCATTTCCATGAAGTTTTAGATAGGCTGGAATTCTCTGAAATCAGTATATACCTCATGCAAACTTCTTTAAATGGTATTGCTACATCTTTTCTAGCCAAGAGGTTTGGTTTAACATATATCCTAAAGAAACCCCCCATCCTATTAATGCCTTTTAAAGAGTACAATTTATAAAACCAAAGTGTAAAATTTGTAAGATACTTATAAGCAAGGTTATACAAACGGCCTATAAGTTATCAAAAAATATTTAGTTTGGTCTGACATAGCTGTGAAAAATCCAGCTTTGTGACCATTGCCTATATTTTAAAACAAAAACCATCTTATTCATCATAACAAGAAAGGAAAGTTACAAGCAATTTTTTTTAAACTCTAAAAGGCTGTGTATACACGGGCACACACTGACTAGTGTTCCTCTGCATTTAAACACACTGACACTACAAATAGGTTACAATACATGTCAGAGAGTCACCCAGCCTGCTGACAAAAAATGATTCCAGTTTGTTTGTTTAATTAATTAATTTATTTTTTGAGAAGGAGTCTCACTCTGTCACCCAGGCTGGAGTGCAGTGGCACGATCTCAGCTCACTGCAACCTCCGGCTCCTGGGTTCAAGTGATTCTCCCGCCTCAGCCTCCCGTGTAGCTGGGATTACAGGTGTGTGCCACCATGCCTGGCTAATTTTTGTAGTTCTAGTAGAGAAAGGGTTTTGCCATGTTGGCCAGGTTGGTCTCGAACTCTTGACCTCAGGTGATTTGCCCACCTGGGCCTCCCAAAGTGCTAGGATTACAGGCGTGAGCCCAATGCGCCCAGTCTTCAGTTTCTTTAGAATGTAATGCTGTACTCAATAATATATTAAATAAGTGAGAAAATTCAGAATTGCTGAATTTTTCCTTTACTAGAGAGTTCCTTTCATATATCCTCTGAAGGTGACGATGTGGTAGGTTACAGTGTGTGGTAGGTTACAATGTGGTAGGTTACAACGTTTGAGGGCTCTTTATGCTGAAATGTCTGAATGGTACTGAATCTCAACTTCATAAAAAAAAAAAAAAAAAAAAAAAACACAGACACACCCAGTTACTTAACAGGAAGTGTCTTGCAGTAACACAATCCAGAAGCCACCTGGCTCAATTTATGATCTGTGAAGTCTTTTTTTTTTTGAGACGGAGTTTTGCTCTTGTTACCCAGGCTGGAGTTCAATGGCACAATCTCGGCTCACCGCAACCTCCGCCTCCTGGGTTCAGGCAATTCTCCTGCCTCAGCCTCCTGAGTAGCTGGGATTACAGGCACGCGCCACCATGCCCAGCTAATTTTTTGTAGTTTTAGTAGAGACGGGGTTTCACCGTGCTGACCAGGATGGTCTCGATCTCTTGACCTCGTGATCCACCCGCCTCGGCCTCCCAAAGTGCTGGGATTACAGGCGTGAGCCACCGCGCCCGGCCTGTGAAGTCTTTAAAACAGTTTCATGCTTCCATAGGCCAGAATTGCTGGGCAGCTTAATAAGAATGATTTTGAACATCCTGTTATATTAGACAAGGCAAGTAAAGCCTCTCCAAATCACTATGTTCAAAAGCGCTTTACAGTCACTAAGAATCTGTAATAGATAATATAATGCAGCTGCTTTTTCCTTTCTTAGATACAATGGTCCTTAGGAAAACTATACTATTCTTTTTTCAGAGACAATTTTTCTTTTAAGGCAAATACAAAACCAACTCAACTATTTTCTACTTTGGTTTATCTCTAGAAGGATCCCAAATAATAACAACAAAAGTACCCTCCTCAATTTGTCAAGATCAGTCCCGAGTCTGCTCTGTCCACAGCATCACCTATTTTGGCATCATGTGAGAGCCTGATGCCATGCAGAGAGGAAGGAGGGATATTCGGCCTGGGCATGATGGAATGGCCTCCATTCCCCTTTGAGTCATGCTCTGGCTCAGCACTGTTCAATAACCAGGGCTGATCTTATGTGATCTTAGAAGGACACCACCAAATCCTGAGGATTAAACAAACCACAGGAAAATACCAACTGTTTTCCTCAAAATGGCTAAGGGTTACAACTACTGGGCAAAGGGGGTGGTCACAGAATGCAACACCCTAAGCTCTGCAGGTCAACTGAAATAGAAAGCTCAGAGGCTTCAGATGGCAAGTGATGCTTCTGTCAGACGTACATGGCAATACATTCTCCCAGACTCAAAGATCACTCTGTTCCAAGGCTCATATGTAGAACTTATCCTGACCTTTCAGTGACAATCTGTTTAGTAGAGGCAGGATAATTTAAAAATAAAAATTAATGTTTATACAGATGAATCTTTCTTTGCAAGCTGACACTGAAGCAAGGTGTAGCATGCCAATAAAACTTCCTTAACAGGGACAACTGGTAATGTCACAGAAAAATCCCTACAAGCCTTCCCTAATATTTACTTCTAAAAAGTTCTAACAAGTGGGTCACTTAGTAACTCTATTTTGGGGGTATCCAAACCATTTATTAAATTAGCTGACTTGAGATTAAATTTGCTTTACAGAGAAATTTTGGCTACTATTCTTTGAAAAAAGTTATTTGAAACATTTTACTATCTAAGTTCAGCTCAAGGATCAAATCAGGCACCTGTCACTTCTCTCTGCCACTGACATGCTGAGTGGGTTTGGAAGATTAAAACAAACATCTTCCCATACAACAAACCATACCTGATAGGGACTCTTGTTCTGAAAATAAAGCAAAGTGCAGATTAGCGTGGTTGTTTTTTACCAAATCTGCTTTACTTGAAGAATGATTTAATGTCATTCAGTAAGTAGAGTGAATAAGACAGAAATAAATTAAGATGGGAAGACTAGATAATAAAAATAAAATATTACCTAACCCCGACTAAACAATATCTCTGTATTAAGCAATGTCACTGTATTTAATAGTATGTTTCAGCTACGTACTGTTATTCCTGTTTTACAAATGAAGAAACCAAGCACAGAGTATTAAATAACTTGCATAAAAAAACCCGGCTGAGCTGGCATTCAAACCTGTGGCTTGACACCAGGGCTGAAACTCCCCAACGATTAAGACTGAAGCAGCAAGAACTGGCCTGGGTTCTAGTCCTGGTTCTGCTATAAACTCTGAACAGCATATTAAATCATTTTATTTCTCTGTATCTTATTTTATTTGTGAAATTTGAAGGTATACGGCATATCTCTAAGGCTTCTACTAACATCAAAACTATGATAGGTTAAATGTTAAAATTAGTGCCCTTTTGGTTTAACAATGGAGACGGAGGTCTCAACGTTATCCAGGCTGGACTTGAACTCCTGGGATCAAGGGATCCTTTGGCTCCAGTCTCCCAAGTAGCTGGGATTACAGGTACATGCCACTGTGCTGGGCTTCAAAAATGGAAAATTTAAACTCTAAAATTTGACACATCTGGACTAGGATGGTACCACCAGACACCAACAGATGAAAAGGGATAAATTTAATTTTTATCATCTGAAATACCTTTTATGTATGGGTTTCAATTTTACTTTATTTATATACTTTAACTGTTCCTGAATTAAATTTTAGTGCCTTCAACAAAGTAAAGCTTTTCCTGGTAACTAATGCTAGAGCCTTTTAAAGCCAATCTTAACATTCCCTTTGTGCTTTGCAGCAAATAATGTGAAACAAATCCCTTTTCTCAGAAAGCAATCTCCTTTTGAATCCTCTGTCAGAGTAAAAAGGAAAAGAAAATACACACAATGCATGTATACACACTATTTTATCTATGCATGTGTATACATATATGTATATATATATCTCTGGTGTGACTTGTGAATAAGCCTCACAAAACAACCCAAGAGATAAATTTCTCTAATTCTAATAGCAGACATCCTCTTTTCTGCTCTATTAAAAACAAAGAACATCTTTCAATAATTCATAGGATGCAGAAATTCAGGAGAAACAATCTAAGACAAATGTAAAAAAACCCTCCACAGCAGAGACTGATGAAAACACAAAGAGCCCTGCAATATGCCTCCTCTTACCCTTTCAATGCACACCTTTCAATCTTTCTCCCTTATGCATATGGAAGGATAAAAAGCATGGCCTCACTATTCAATACACAACACACTTCAAGTAAGAAAAGAAACTCTTTTCTTCAATGTTTCTCTGCAATAGATTGAGTATTCTGAATCTGAAAACCCAAAATCTGAAATGCTCTAAAATCTGAAACTTTCTGAGTGGCAACAGGATGCTCAAATTTGCTCACCAGAACATTTTGGATTTTCGGTTTAGGAACGCTCAACCATTAAGTATAATACAAACATTCCCAAATCCAAAAAACACCCTGAAATATAAAATTTGATCCCAAACACTGTGTTGTCTTTACCAAAACTATTTTCCTCTGGTCATATTCAATCCTGACAAACCTAGTCAAAAGAATGAGGGAAGTTGCTGTCATTTTCTCTGTAATAAAGG